CGGAGCACGCCGGGTTCTCACCGGACCAGGCTCTCACATCACCAAGCGCGAAGCGCCGTGAGATATTCGGCGAGTCGCATGAAGGGTGCGCTGCATCCTGCTAAGGGTGTTCGGCATCTTGTGCTTACTTCCTTGCGTACGGATGACAGCTGCGTATGACTTGATATATTTTCTGGTGCTTTCACTTCCTGAGACGGTTGTAAGCACTGTGTAACTGCCTCGAGGGCGCTTGACCATTTTAACACAACGTGGTGCGATCATCCCCTCTGCGCGGAGTGAGGGTTCTCGACCCTGCACAACATGATCTATTCGACCACCATTATGGTTACCGCCAAAAAAAAAAAGGAGGTAAAAGAAAAAAACGGTAACCTGGTTGCCGAGTTCACGAAGTGAATTGGCTTGTATAACAACGTCATTGCCAAGCGACGAAAACCCAATCCCGATGGCAAACACCGATGGGGGGTAAAAATTACACTGCATCATCCGTGAATCGAACACGGGTCGCGTGAATGGCAATTACGCATTCTATCACTGAATCAATGATAAACAGGGGAAGCATAATGCACAGGCCGCACTGCAGTGAAAACCATGACTTGAAAAAAAAAAAAAAACGTGAAGCCACGAGTCTACATGCGTCGCACGCTTGTCAGCACGGCCAGCGCTGCCGGCAGCTCAAGACACACGGATAATAAAAAAAAAACTACCCTCCTACACACGATTGACGTGCGGCGGGGGCTAGAGGGACGGGCTTGAGCCTAGCGCACCCGGGTTCACCGCGCTGCTCGACCGAGCTGCTCTTCTCTCGTACGGAGAATACACATGAACCCAGCGCCGAGCGCCGCCATGAACACGGTTCCAAGTAACAAATGTTCATCCTCAGCTGCTGTGTATCCACGCAGAGGGAAACTGTAACTGTTCTCGTCGTCGAATCCGTAAGCAAGAGCCCGAGTGCATTCTACTTTGTGTCTGTCAGTTGTTCACGTTTCGGGAGGCCCGTACAAGATACTTGCGGGTTTTGTTGATCTTGTTCAGGGTATTTTTTATTTTCTAGTTTCGACAGGACATGTACAACTCAACCGCGTGCAGCTGCTACATACAGCCGGCGGGGTCAGCTGCAAAGGGTCCCCTCCGCTCAGATGGCCCTAACCCGTACCACCGCATCAGCAACGCGCCGCAGCAACGCGTCGCAGCAACCCATGCAGTCGTTTGTCGATCAACAACATACCATGCAATCGGATGTCGAGAGCACGCACACAACACACCTGTTCGTTCATCGTTCCCGCCGTGCTCGCTCCGATGTATACGAACGCCAGGGTCCCCGGGACGATGCCCACGGTGCCCAGCAGGTAGTCCCGCAGCGAGACCTTCGTCAGGCCCGCGATGAAGTTGAAGCCGGAGAAGGGCACCAGGGGCGAGAGCCGCAGCAGGATCATGACCTTGACCCCGTTGCGCTCGATCGCGGTGTTCACCGCGCTCAAGATCCGGTAGCGCTTGGCGCAGCTCTGTGCCTGTTCGTGCAGCACGTACCTGCATAACGATTAGTAGAGATAAATATAACAGAGACGGGCATGCACGTGGGCAGGAAGGTCAGCAGCACGTCCGGATGGCCGGTGCAGGTGGGTCGGACACTAACACGGACTGCTGCTGTTGCAAACAAAAACGCATCCGACTGAAAATGCAAAGGATTTCCAGCACATCCATTCGTCTGCGGTGTTGTTATCTCGAACGCGAAAATAGCCATTTCAGCGATTGTATTTACGCTTTCGGAAAACCTTGGAAGGGCTAACAAAATCGGCGAAAAGGGACCAGAGGGTGCAACTCCCGGCTAGCCTCCCGTGAGACGATGTTGGCGAATCGCTCTGCGTGAGGCTGAGTCGTACGCGCGGCGATCGGAGAAACCGAACCTCCTTGAATGATACTACTTCGAAGTACAAGTAGGGCTCACCGACCGAGGTAAAAGGCGATCACGCACGCCACCACCGCTCCCAACAATACAGCCACGGAGCCCCACAGGACCCCGAAACCAAACCCCAGAGCCCTTCCAAAGGCCACCCCCGCTCCGATCGTCAGCAGCAGCCCGGGCACGAAAAGCAGGGTCGACAAGCAGAAGAGCAGGGCGAAAACCACGACCCCTGCGAGAGCAGTAGCGACGCACAAGAGAGGAGCGATGTGCTTAGCGTTGCGCTCTAACGTTTCCTGGTAATTGAAAGCCGAGGTGGCAGTGAATATACACTCGAAGTACGGTTGAGCTTTCTCATCTCCTGAGCCTTTTTTCCCGACAAAGCGACAGCGGGGTCGGACTGTCCCGCTACCATGGGGCACATGGCTTCTCTTCTAATAAAGACGTAGAAAATACTCCACCAGCAGCGGATACGTCATTCATAGCATTACGGGACCAACCTGTGTTTCTACGAACACCCAAGCAGCGGGTCGCTGTATCTCCCCGGTTATGGATGTACATGTCTCTATCGTGTATCTGCATATCTCTGGCTACATGTGTACTACAAGTAGTTTGTGTATAAAAAAAATAAACGTATTGTTAGTTGATGGTATCTGGTTGCACCAAGCACGTTGTCCCCGGCGTGTCTGCGAGGATATGTTGAATCACAGCTAACATACGTCGTCAGTGAATTTTTTCACCATCCTCAATGATGAATGGTGAACGACAACGACAAATTATGTTAGGATGCACGGTCGCCCCCGTTGGCTAGTTGGTATCCTCAAAAGCCTGCTGTATTTAGTGGTCAGGGTCAGTCAGGGGTTCGAATCCCTGCGTGAGCGCCTTTCTTGCAAAAAGTGCATTTTCTCCCACTTCCGTTCCTGGCCTGGGTGGAATGGCGGTTGATCGTGCGTACACAGAGAGGGGAGAGAGTGCTGCACTCTTTTGGCGTATAAAATTCAGGGCAAAGTACCGCAGGAGGGGTGGGTACGGGATACAGGTGGGGGCTCAGCGAAAGGAACCCTTCCGTGTGCCCACGGGTTGATGATAACGGCACAAACGTGCGTACTGCCTTTTGAGCGATGATTTTGAAGTGAGACAAAAAGTACATTACATGGACCTACAGCAGTTACAACACTCAGCGTAAGCCAATGAATTCACATGCCTAGCGTAGCGGAGTTTCCACGGCTTTCCGAGCAGCGCTATATTGCAGCGATTTCTCCCTTTCTCCAGTACCTTCTTTGAAAGTACATTCGCACACTATAAACATAAAATTGTAATGAAAAGTAATCCATGAATTTCACACGAAAGTGTCCGTTCAAGATTTACACCCCAGTCGAAAGGGATGTGTTGAAGTCATATTTCGTCTTGTCAGTAAGTGGAGAGAAACCCGCTGGAAACTGGGATTCGTACTTAGCTTGTGAATTATATTTCGTATCTGCACATTGTATCTCCCTTCGTACCTGTGAATTTGTCATGCCAGCTGGTGCCATCCATACAAGAAATAGGAAATTGTATCGTACCTTGTTAGTATTACTGCTGTAGTTAGGCCTGTCCTTCATCGGCCGTTTTTTTTTCCTTTTTCGGCCGCTTTTTTTTTTCTCTTTCGGCCGCTTTTTTTCCTTTTTCGGCCGTTTTTTTTCCTTTTTCGGCCGCCCCAATTTTTTTTCGGCCACCCCAATTTTTTTTTCGGCCACCCCAATTTTTTTTTCGGCCACCCCAATGTGTGCCCGTACTAGCCCGTACAGGTACCCTTTTAACGCCCTCTCGTGCATCCTATGCTTGTTGCGCAAGATGGATCGGGGCTCGTCCATTTATCTGTGTTCTTTGGAAGTAAATAACTCTGTGTCTAGTCGCAGTAATGCACCGGTTTATCACTAGTCATCATTGAGAAAAAGAGTACTATTTCATACCATACGCCTCCGAAGCCTACTCTTTCGTGTTTCATCTCTCATGTTGTCTATTGCCCGTCGCTCATGTCCACGTCTACCACCCCCGCCTCCGCTGTACTCTACGAGCATGTTCTTCTGTGTGCTGGATCCCCTCATCTGTGTGTGTGTGTGCCACGTGCTACCGCCGTGTGCGGACTGCGTGCAGCGAGCTGCGAGCTATGGGCGAGCTGGAAGCTGGAAGTTTTTTGTGTTTTTTTTTTAAGTGCGGAGTGCGGAGACGCGGAGACCACCGCGCAAGTGAACAACATTGAATTTATGGGGGGGGGAGGGGGGTGGCCCATTGAAATCGGACATTGGCCGTGGCCGATTTGGAATCGGCCGTAGCCGACTAGGAATCGGCCGTAGCCGA